TTAATTCATCAAGTTCCCGGTTCCTGTGAACTTTCCGTTTCGCTATAATCCTCGCGGGATATGTAACATCGATCGCGCAATTCGAGAACAATGGCAGGAGCTTTGGAACAGCCATTACCATCGTAGCGAAATTCCATAAGACGTTGGACATAGATTCTCAGTCAGCGTTTATAGCTTTCTCTGTGCGAGGTATTACCTGACAATTTCCTTCCGTTATTTTAACACGTGGTATTCCGCTCTTTCGCCATCGAAACGAATTTCATCTGTCATAAGTCTATTCTTATCGCCAGGATAAGTAAGCGCGAAAATTTCGTTGCTTTTCTCACACGCACATTCGCGATAGTTTCACTTTCGCTTTATCTTGAGGAGTCCTTTTTATTTCGCTCTACTACAAGCAAAGTGCGCCACAAAGTGCATTTCACATAAAATTTGTGACGAATATAAATTAACGAAAGGTGAAAGAAGAAACATACATGATTTTATATCTCAAGATCCAAAAAGAAACATTTACATACGGTATAATAATATATTAACGGAATAAAATAGAAATCTTTTTTTGTTATTTTTTCTTGTTTTTCTCTGCTATTGGTAAAATAGATAGAAAATCGAGTCGATTTGTGACTGACGAATTATTTATTGACGTGAAAAACTATCTACCCGCGAATCAGTTAGAGTGATTCGGCTGAACCGTATGGAATATACAATAGCATTAAATGGAAGGTGCATATTACATACAGAAACAACAAACGTCAAACGATATTCGTTTAATTTCATCGGCTATTGAAAACATTCGGCGAATAAATGAAGGCGTTGCGTGTAATGCAAGAGAAGTACGAGTTTTATTAATTAAATCTCAACGTTGATTTAATGATGTTAAAATAATTTTAATTATATTCGCGCGCATATAAATGTTATTATCAATCCGTGGCACAAAGTACTTAACGATAAAAGAATTAACATGCTTTCGAATATTTCGCTTAATCTGAAGCCAGATAGCTCTGCGCGAGAATTATAGTCGATGCGATACACTTGCGTCTCTTCATTCCATTATCCCCGTGAATATACTCCTACGTATTAAATCCGACAATGAGATTATGAAAAAATATAAATTTATCGTTATTTCGTTATATACTTATCGCTGCTCCGAGGTGACGTCGTGAATTGTCCTGTCTAATAAAAACTAGATTTACGATAAATATTTTGTCACGTAATATTTCTCTCGCAACGTACGCCGCGATTTCTCCAAAAGTCTCCACTGAAGTCGGAAATGATCCTCCCCTGCCCGGAATTCGGCTAATTTTTTTTCTTTTTTCCATAGCCACGCATTTACAAAATATCACTCGTACGGCCACAAACTCTCTCCTCTTAAACAACCTCATGGAAAATGGGCAGCGAAATCTTCAGCGCACTTTTTCCATCGCACTTTTTATCCTTCCCATGACCCAAAATCTAGTTAACAGAGTTTCCGGTCGGATGCGTCCCACCGCCTTATTGTTTTATCAACGTGAAGTCCGTGAGATCAATCGACGACGACGACGATGACGACGATGACGATGACGACGTTTCAGGTTCATCGCCGAGGAGTGGTCGCCCTGCAGCGTCACCTGCGGCGAGGGCGTCAGGCATCGGGAAGTGCACTGCAAGATATACCTCGAGTTCAGCCGAACTATCGCCATGTTGCCGGACAAACAGTGCACCGGCCCGAAACCCATCGAGACGGAGACGTGCATGATGCAGTCGTGTGGCCTGTTGGAAAACAGCCTGCCCTTCGGGATCGACACGGTCGACGACGGCGGGTACTCCGAATCGAGCTTGATAGGCTCGTCGTATAGATCATCACTGGGTAGTTCCGGCGGAAGCAGCTACGACAGCGGCATCAAAGTCGCTCCAGGGAGCGACGTGCAGACGACATACTCGTGGAAGGAAGCTGGCTACACCCCCTGCAGCGCCACTTGCTTAGGAGGTAACGGCCAAACTGTAGATGCGATCGTTGTACGCCAAGATTGTTTCTGATAATATCCCCTTGGAGGGAGGGACTCATCCCTCCCCCTACTTACGGCGGGGTAAGAGGTCGGGTATTAGCGTCATCCGGATGGGTGGTCCGGCCTTCAAATCCCATCCGTCACATCTGGATTTTAAATGATGGATAGTTTCCGCTGTGGAAACTCGCGGTAAATGCGCGCCCATCGTCCTATGTTAATGAACACGAAGGAGGGATCCTGGCCGAAGGAAAATGTTGTCGGCTTATTTCGAGAAGTATGCCAAGTATTACGTAATCGTCGCGATCAAGTCAGCCTCGATTCCGCATGCGTAAAAATTCTATAGAAGGGAGGAGGGCATTTCTCGGATGGAGGAACGTGTTGTCGACGCGTTTAGGAGGAGGGGGGCAGGGGCATTTATGTAATCATCGTACTCTCTAAATTCGCTGGAGCGAAATTTCCTTCGAGGAACGGAGTAGCTCAAAGTCGAGCGATTTCTCGCTCACATGGAGTAAGTCCTCCACTGTGAATCGTCGAGGAAGTATGTTCGCTTGAACCTGAAGAGCAAATCTGACGTATTATGTTGCCGTGGGAGTAAATTCACTCTGATCAATCGAAACGTTCACTCGTACAGAATAAGAATCCACTCTGAGTTTTGAGTGAAACATTCGCTCTCTTATGACTCCGATTGGAAGTACTTTCGCCACCGCTGCGAACGAACTCCTGTTCGTTTTGATCGCAATTTCACCTCCGAAAATTTTAAGAGTACTAAAATCGAATCTAATTCTGCACACATACGTAAAGATTTGCTCAGAGTCGTACAGGTTTCAAACGGACGACGGTGAAGGTTGCGTCACGATGAAATTCGCGACGATCCTACACGTGTAATCGTTATCGCTCGGTTCGCGGTCCTCGCGAAGCTCTGACCTCGCGAAGTTCCGTCAAAATGAAATGGTCGCTCATATAATCTTTTTTTGGACATGGCTTTGCTATGTCGATTTTCTACGCGATGCATAACAAAACAAGGCGAGAGAGCGTGGTACACACAAAGCCGGCATTGATCGTTCATCAGATAGGATTAGAGAAACGAATTCACGTCGTCGACGTGCTCCTCAATTAGCCCCGACGAAATCGATGTCATTGTGCAATTAACAACGCTCAGTTATAATCGCATTAAGATAAGTCCGTGTCGACTGACGCGATACAAAGGGACGACAGAGCGTGCGCGCTCTCTCCATACCTGACAGATAATCTTTCACTCATAATTCGGATCCACGCACGTGATTGATCGTTAATCGCGTCCCCCGCTCCCTCTGTCTACTCTCTTCCTCTCTCTTTATCTCTGCCTCTCTCATGATCTCCAGGTGTTCAGGATCTTATCATAAACTGCGTGCGCGACGATACCGGGAAAACCGCGATGCCGCTTCTGTGCGCCGCCGAGACGAAACCCGAGGCGAGGATACGAGTCTGCAACGACCATCCGTGTCCTCCCAGGTGAGAGCGACTGCAACCGGATACGGATTAGTTTAATGCCCAAATGTTGGGATACCTCGCGTCACGTAATGTTTGAATTACCGTTAATCCGAGGTATGACACGTTAACCCTCGGGCTGTCATAATATCCTGATAAGTTGGGAGCTACCGAACATGCGCGCGCGCGCATGCTGACTCTCATCGGCATTTCTAAATCGAGAATTAATTGGCAGCGTCTTTCACTCGTGTTGGTTCTACGAGAAGAATGTACGAAGCAGACGAGTGTTATTCCTCGCGCGTTATTCTACGAACGTCACTCCTCGCGTAAATTGCGCACGACGAGACTGCAAGGGGGGCAAATGTGTTCGGGAAGATTTATCGATTTATCGTCTCTCTCTCTCTCTCTCTCTCTCTCTCTCTCAGTTTCTCGCGGCGTAAGACTGCTAAAATTTATACATTCATAGCGGCGCTTTTCTCGCGGTACGCTGCGCGCTGCATTTTACACTGGCGCTGCTGCGAAGCCTTTAAAATTCACTGAAACGTTATTTATTACGTCTTGTACGATACATTATTAACGTTTCCGGTCGCGCGAGCTACAATTATGTCAGCGGCGTGTTCTCTCGGGCGAGGGAGCTGCGTCCGCGCGCTGCGCGCGTTCTGGCTTGACGAATGTGTCATCGTTTGTGCCCGCAGGTGGAACTATAGCGAATTCTCCACTTGCATGAGCCCTTGCGGTATCGGTATACAGACACGTGACGTTACCTGTATTCACGAAGTGACACGCGGCAGCGGCAAGACCGTGCCCGTCCCAAATTACATGTGTCCGCAACCGCCACCCGCCGACAGACGATACTGCAACGTCTGGGATTGCCCTGTCAAATGGAGCACGGGAGAATGGGAGAAGGTTTGTACTACGTGCGTTTGTACGAAGATTTATCAAGCCCAGAGAGGCAGAGAAGTGTGCCGTAATACCTTCGTTGTATGACCGGCCCTTCGTCCCTCGATTCAACGGAACGGCCGGCGCTTCGAATCATTTTCCTCGTTAATTCCCGGTCCATTTTGCGAAAGCGTTCAATATAAAAATCAGATAATAACTTTTCCCGCGTGATCTTCCTCGAAACCGGCGGAACGAATGGTAGAAAACTCCATTCTGTCAAATTAATTATACACGAAACTCCATAAGCCCCAAGATGCGAAGTCGGTTTTACTTTCTACCTTTTTACCGTCATTTTGTTCAATGTAGCTTGCATGTTAAAATGTACGTCTCGAAGTTTCGAATTTCAGAATCAGCACTGCACGACCCGTCGTGTTTATTTAATCGTACGCTCCAATTAACGATTGATGTCGCGAGCGCGTGCTCGCGAATATCGACGAGCTTTCGAAGCCTCTGATCGAACAATTTCAGTGCTCTAAATCGTGCGGCGGTGGTGTGAAGAAACGAAAGGTAGTCTGCGAACAGATCATGGCACAGGGTCGCAAGCAAAGTCGCGAGGAGCGCGAGTGTCCAGCGCAAAAGCCAGCCAGCGAGAAACCCTGCAACACCAGGGCGTGTCGTGAATCGGACTCGAGCGTGCCGCCGATAATCACCAGCTCGAACACGACGTACAATCAAACGGACATCAACGCGAAGGTGGACCTGAGGATCGGCGGGGTCGCTAAGGTCTTTCAAGGGACGGGCTCCGTAAAGATTCGATGTCCCGTTAGGAAATTCGACAAGTAAGCGTGAGCACGCACGCATCGCGCGTATTACGCGCGATTATTCTGACTTTTTTCAAGTAGAATCTCGCTGGTATTGCTCTTCGATCGTTCTAAATTTGTTCGATTGTTGGAATCTCGCTGAAAGCGACAACGAGAAGGCTCGAAATCACACACGGGGAAAGAAGATCGATTGATGTGACGATAAACGAACTAAATACGTTTCGGAACGAAGCGCACTTTTAGCTCATCACGTGGCAATGAAACGAATTTGTTCCATGAAAACTAGAAATCTGTTTTTGCAACCAAAACATGTCTAGCTCATTTATTGTCAGGTTAATTCAATTACTCTCTTCCCTCCGTGGAAGAATATATGTTTAAACTTAAATTTAGAATGGCTTTATAAGCTATTTATACGAGTGAATATTTCAATCGTTCAGAATGTGAATGTGTTCGTGACCGTGAAATATATTCAGATTCAATTATTCAATTTTGGAGATGAAGGTATCCGCTCAATAATTGAGAGAGTAAAGAAATAATCGCGCTATAAATAATTGAAATGATGAGGTCATTTGAAATTTCAATGGTTTAGCTGTCATTCGATTTTTCGACTGAAATTTCGCTCGAAGAAATGTAGAGACAGCGGCGCGATATTAATACGACACATTGTCCAGAGCGCAGATCCTATGGACGAAGGACAACAAGGAAATACGAAAGTCGAGGAAATACAAGATCAGCAGGAAGGGCGCATTGAAGATAATAGAAATAGGGTCTTCGGACTCCGGTGTCTACGCGTGTATTGGTAAGCGATCTGTTCTATCTTCCCCACCTTCCCCACCTTCCCACCGACGCTCCATGTTCGCATACACAGATTTCAATACCCGGCTATTGCGATGAAAAATGCCACGGTAATTTTTTAGCGGGGAGTTCGCGCGCGGAGACGCAATTGATAGTGAAATTTCGCTCCAAAGAGCAGATAAGTAGCGAAGAATATTTACGGCTCGGCAATTCCGTTCAACTACAACGGAACGCGAATCTCGACTCCGCGCCGGCAAACTCGGGCGAGAGCCTCTACACCGATCGTGCAGGTAAGCGAAGTGCGAATCTTTACAAAAAAAAGAAAGGAAGGAAGAGAAAGAAAAAAACATTTTATATATATATACGAGGGTGGTCCGATAAGTACTTAGCCTACAAAAGAAAAACGAAAATTTTGGAAAAGTGGCGATTTATTTCTCAACATAGTCTCCTTTTAGCTCGATACACTTGACCCAGCGATGCTCCAACTTCTTTAACCCGTCTGAAAAATACGTTTTCTCGAGGTCTGCAAAGTAGGCCTCCGTGGCGGCGATGACCTCCTCATTCGACTCAAATTTCTGCCCGGCGAGTGACTTTTTCAAGTTTGGAAACAAAAAGAAGTCGCACGGGGCCAAATCTGGAGAATACGGTGGGTGGGGCAGCAGTTCGTAGCCCAATTCGACCAATTTGACCGTGGCGAGGGTGGAGGTGTGAGCCGGTGCGTTGTCATGGTGGAAGAGCACTTTTTTCTTCGCCAAATGGGGCCGTTTTTTCTGCAATTCGGCGTCGAATCGGCCCAATAATTCGGCATAGTACAGCCTTGTGACCGTTTTGCCCTTCTCCAGGTAGTCGATGTAGATCACACCTTGTGAATCCCAGAAAACGGTGGCCATCACCTTTCCGGCCGATAGGACAGTCTTCGCCTTCTTCGGAGCACGTTCGCCGGGTGAAGTCCACTGTTTCGACTGTTCCTTGGTCTCTGGTGTGTACCAGTGGATCCATGTTTCGTCGACGGTCACGAAACGACGCAGAAACTCCTTCGGATTGCGCTTAAACAGCGTCAAACACTGCTCTGAAGTGGTCTCACGGTTGCGCTTGTTGTCCGGAGTGAGCAAACGCGGCACCCATCGCGCCGACAGCTTTCTCATGCCCAAAATTTCATGCAGGATATGACCCACGCGGTCTTTTGAGATGCCTACTGTCTCAGCTATCTCGCGCACCTTCAATCGGCGGTCTGCCAATACGAGATCGTGGATTTTTGTCATGTTATTCTCCGCGGTAGCCGTTTTCGGGGCACCTGGGCGTGGCTCATCAAAAACCGACGTGCGACCACGTTGAAACTCGTTAAACCAATTTTTGACGGTCGCCATCGAAGGAGAAGAGTCACCGTACACAGCATCCAAGCGCTCTTTGATTTCGCTGCGCGACTTCCCTTCCAAAAACAAGATTCGAATCACCGACCGATATTGCTCTTTTTCCATTTTTCTAAAATCCGCGGACACGCCCGCTTCCACACGCGGTCAAAACAAAACTACGAGTCCGATTCGGCTGAAATTTCGACAGTAGCCGTCTACGAGAATGTACTACACGATAGTAAATTTCTCTTGCGATAGTGGCGCCATCGGGCGGTGAGGCTAAGTACTTAGCGGACCGCCCTCGTATATATATTTTTTTTAGAGGTTTCACATACGCATAGACAGCAGCAACCAAATAAACAATCTCGACGAGCATGTTTCGCGATATATTTGTATTCTATTAACTTTTTCAAGAGCTCTTCTAATGAGTAAAGATCGTTAAATTGGCACCTTGAGATGCCAATTTTATGCGAAGCTCGTATATTTTACTCAATACTTTTTTTACAAAAATTTCTAAAAATATTACGATTTATACGATCGTTTCGAATACTGTAAAAATGTTTCAAAAGTTACGAAGTATCGAAACTATTCATATGTAATGTTGGTACAACGTTGAAAGGTCATATCAGAAAACATTATACGTTATTGAATGTCGATGCAAGAACGCTCTGCCAGTGATTTTTTGCTCACTAGACTTGAATCAATTACTAATACGATTATATATCGCGGAAGGCGATCGAGAGGTAGAAGCGAACTTTCGCAACTTCGATTTTGTCCTTTACAGCAGCCTACGGCAACCGTTTCGACAGCGAGGACATCAGCCACGAGCGGGCGTCCCCTAGCAAACCGACGCGCAAGCCCCATCAGAAGAAGCAAAAGACCAGCCCGGCGCCGTCGGACGTCACGATGCAGAAAGAACACACCGTCACCTCCCTCAACCAGGTACACGGCACGAGCGAATTCGATTCTGTCAGGATTCCAAAGATTGCCCCGTACACTTCCGGCAATCCAGAGAGTTACGTGTTATCTTGACATCCGCTTAAAACGAGACCGCATATGCATGAACCTTGTCGTAACTAACATACGTTCTTTCTTTCTCTGTCTTTTTCTCCCTGTATCTATCTATCTATCTGTCTGTCTGTATCTCTTTATCTCTTTATCTTTCTCTCTCTCTCTCTCTCTCTCTCTCTCTCTCTCTCTCTCTCTCTCTCTCTCTCTCTCTCTCCCCCCTTTCTCCATTTCCATCTCGATATATATATATATATATATATATACAGGGTGCACGATTTATCTGAAGACATTGAAATATCTCGAGAACTATGCATTGGATAAAAAAGTGGTTAATGAAAGTTGTTAGTCTCGAAGGGGGACATCCAATGATACCAAACTCGACCTCCCACCCCACCCCCTGGGGGTGGGGGTAACTTTGAAATCTTAAATGGAAACCCCCATTTTTTATTGCAGATACAGATTCTACGCCACAAAATACGTAAATTTTGTCCGAAACTTTTTTTTTGATTCGTGATAGATGGCGCTGTAATCGCAAAAAATTATATTTTCCGCAATTCTCCAGAAATGATCATTGGATTGAGAAATAAAAAATACCTGTTCAATATTTTTAAAGAACATAATAAAAGTTATTCCCCCCCATTCTCTCGGGGTAGGGTGGGTGATAACGTTCAAATCTCAAATGGGGACCCACATTTTTCATTGCAGAATTAGATTCTACGTGAAATTTTTATTGAAACAATTTTTTTCATTCGTGATAGATAGCGTTGAATTTTTCCGAGAAACTACTTTTAGCGTTACACAGGAACAACGACGAGGACGTAGTAGTTTTATGTTCCCTTCGGGTGCTTTTTTAATGTGAGTCCCTTTGTCTCTCACAGATCGGGGTGCTTTTTTAAAGTGAGTCCCTTTGCCTCTCACTGTTCAATTAATTAGAGTAAGTGTTCGAAATTTTTACCTTCAACTTCAATACACTTATTGATCCTTTTTTCAAATGACTGTACACAGGATAGAAGCATATCTGCGGGAGTTTCAGCGCAAGCGTTTCTTATGCGTTCTACCATGTTTTCACGAGTTGTTGGCACTTGTTGATAAACCTTATCTTTTAGGTAAGCCCATAGAAAGAAATCCGGCGATGTTAAATCAGGCGACCTAGCAGGCCAATTAATCAGGCCACCTCTGCCAATCCACCGACCATTGTAATCACGGTCTAATACTTCCCGTGCTGCTATTGAGTTATGCGCTGGGGAACCGTCATGCTGAAACCACATACTTTGTCGAACGTCCAAGGCAACATCATCAAGTAGTGGTGGTAGTTCCTGTTCCAGGAAATTTCGATATTTGATTCCATTCAAATTACCTTCAATAAAATAAAGACCAATGAGTCTGTTCCCTATGATTCCACACCAAACGTTAACCGACCAAGGACGTTGATGTTCAACTTGTCGTAACCAGTGGGGATTTTCTACACTCCAGTAATGCATGTTATGTCGATAACGCCACCATGGTTTGTGAATGTAGACTCATCTGAAAATAGTACATTAGCAATGAAATTGGGGTTCGTTTGCATTTGTTGAAGTGCCCATTCACAAAACATCACTCGATTATGAAAATCATCGCCATGAAGTTCTTGATGCAGTGAAATGTGATATGGGTGATACTTATGACGATGCAATATTCTGCGAATACTATCTCCGGAAATTCCGAAATCGCGATGTAATTACCAAGTGCTTACCTGTGGGTTGTGGTGAACAGCTGCTAGCACAGCTATTTCATTAATTTCTCCTGTAACAGTTGTTCTTCGTTTTCTTTTTTTAGTTTGTACGCTGCCATCCGAGATAAAGTCAGTCACAACTTTGTAAAAAAAAGAACGTTGTCTGGAAAACGCTCAGCATACAAGGCAACAGCATCGTCAACATTCCTCCTATATTCACCATAAATCAGAATCATTTCAATTTTTTCTTCTACGGTTGCAGAATTCATTTTCCACTTGCAATTCTGTTCAAAGAATGAAGGGTAGATATGCAGGTAATAAAAACTAGTCAAGTAAAATGAAATTGTTAGAGATGTTTTCAGTTCTAATTCTGAAAGAAAAGTGAGCTCTGACCGCATTGCACTGCCTTTTATAATAAGCCGTAGTTCGCCATACACCCACAGTGGCGCGTCGAGCAGTTCCCTCTTCGATTCGGGTTCCCATTTGAGATTTGAATGTTACCACCCATCCTACATACCACCCCGAGAGGATGGGTGGGGGAATAACTTTTATTATATTCTTTAAAAATATTGAACAGGTATTTTTTATTTCTCAATCCAATGATCATTTCTGGAGAATTGCGGAAAATATAATTTTTTGCGATTACAGCGCCATCTATCACGAATAAAAAAAAAAGTTTCGGACAAAATTTACGTATTTTGTGGCGTAGAATCCATATCTGCAATAAAAAATGGGGGTTTCCATTTAAGATTTCAAAGTTACCCCCACCCCCAGGGGGTGGGGTGGGAGGTCGAGTTTGGTATCATTGGATGTCCCCCTTCGAGACTAACAACTTTCATTAACCACTTTTTTTTATCCAATGCATAGTTCTCGAGATATTTCAATGTCTTCAGATAAATCGTACACCCTGTATATATATATCTCTCTCTTTCTCCGGCGATGGTTCTGTATTCTTTGTACTTTGCACTCTTGGACTAACTTTACTTTGGTGTTGGCTACTCAATACTTGATCAATCAAGCCGGGACATCACGAATCCGTGGAATCGGCCGCTTCGTCGAGCGCCCCCGTTCTGGTGCCACACTTGAGCTACTTGATATCGAGCTTGAAGGTAAGATGTTAACGCCCGGCTGAACTTAACGAACTTGCCGCGTGCGAGCGCGTTTGCTTGCTCGCGTGCTTGCCTGCTCGCTCGCTCGCTCGCCCTCGTATGCCCTCGAGCGTTGCTAAACGCTACTGTAAATTTTCGATCGAACATTTAACTCGGCATCGTACAGCACCTCCGTCCGAGATGCCATGTTCATTATTAACGCGCTTTATGACAGGCCTACTGGCCGTTCCGCAGCGAAATAACCACGAGCAATAATCGCGAGGCGGCCGTGCTCGCGGGGGCGTTCGTCGGGGCTGGAAGTAAAGCAGCGGCGGAGGCGGCGGCGTCTACCAAGTACAAATTGTCCAACGGGAAAGGCGATCTGATGTATCAGAGCATAGATGACAGCTTCGACAATCTCTATCGCAACACGATCATCCCCGACAAGACTTTCGGCCCGGACGAGGAGCGGATCTTCATCGACGTCGATCCCTACGACCTGGACGAGTCTATGTTCGGGCTGCAGCATGGCGACGACAACGTCGTCTCGACGCCTGGCGCGAATGCAGATAACAGGCTTACCGCGAAGCCCGATATCGATTATATCGAGCAGTCCCTGAAAAATGTGAAAAGGTATTGGCAAGAGTCGAGAGATGAGTCAGCGGACGGGTCGAGAAGTCAGTGGAGTACTACGCCCGAGAACCACGTTCGGAGCGGAATCATCTCTGCTGAGGCCGTCACGTCTCCGCGAAATGCTGGGACGGACATGTACCGCGTCGAGGACTTGAGCACGAAAAAGGAATCGCCCGAGGAGGGGCGCAGTTTTGTCGGCGACGGCGATAAGTCCATCAATCACGGTGCCTATGGTAACGCGAGAGCCGAAGATTCATCGACCGTCACCAACACCGCGCCGACGGTCAAAAACTCGGAGGAGCACCGGCCGAGGATACCGGAATCAGCGCGTCGCGGTTTGGGCCGCGCTAACCGGACAATTGATTACAGCGACACGTTTGACGAAGAGTCGGATAAGAGGAAAAATGAGCGGCACATGGAAAATCATACGGCTGATTATACAATCGTACGATATCCGGCTACTAGGGACCTCGACAGCGGAGCGCGAAAGGACTCGACATTGATGGATGATCGAGGCTCGACCGTTGTTGTGGAGCCACCTGACGAAGATGCGAGAAACTTATCTCACGATCAGGGAGATCATGCCGGCACCGTGGAGGAAGCCTCTTCGGTTAATCTGAAAGAGCTCTCCAAAGAGGGTGAACAGTCAGCCGACGGAGATAAGGCCGCAAACGTTTTGACCTCCACTGTAGTGGCGGAAGACAACACAAGCAAGGACCCCGCTGCAGAATCGCTCGCCGTATTAGGTAAGACTTTATCATCTATACACACACTCTCTCTCTCTCTCTCTCTCTCTCTCTCTCTCTCTCTCTCTCTCTGTCGACGGTTCGAGTAGTTCAATAATTAAACCAAAGACTTATAACGCAGCTGTGGACAGCACGGAAAGTCTGATGTTCGAGTGGGTCACGACCGACTGGTCGAAGTGCTCTCAAACCTGCGGGGGAAGTGGGTTCCAGGTAAGACTGCTTTTTTTTAACACCGCCGCTGTCATCGATTGTTAGAAAATTTGCGAATTCGTGTCACTTTGAGAGTTCATTTGTGAAAGAATACGCCTTGCAAAACGGTTGTTTGTCATTGTTGCGCGGACAGCTGTGAGAAACGCTTGAAGCTACGAATTACAAGTTTGAGATCCTAGCGAATGTCGAAATGATCGATTATCATCAGACGTGTACTCTCAGGTATTTAAAGTTTCGTTCTCTCACAATACTACGCGATATCACGCGGAAGTGCCACTGATTAATAGTACTATGAGTACTTGACCGCGAACTTGATTCGTACGAAGAAAAGAAAAAGGAAACTAAAAGACGATTATTACAATATTGCGATAGCGATTAATTTGGGGCGTCGAAGTTACATGTATTGCGAGGTGTTTCTTTGCATAGATGCGAGGCGCACAGTGTACAGTTCGCACGGCGACCTTAGACGGCAATTCCACACGCGTCTCGCCGAGTACGGTGATCGGCGCGACGCTGTGCGAGGACGCCGGTCATCCGATGCCGCAGAAAGTGAGACCTTGCGGCATAGGCAGATGTCCTCAGTGGCATACCACCGAATGGACCCCGTGCGAGACGTCGAGGTGCTTCAATTGGAAGACGGCCATGCAGAAGCGGGACATCAGTTGTCGCCTGGTGTCGGAGGACGATCGGGAGAATGTCACGTTGCTGGACCCGAGCAAGTGCGACGAAGCCACAAGGCCACTACAGAGGCAGGAGTGTTATAACGATGCTTGCAAGGGCGTCTGGCGGGTCGGCGAGTGGTCGGAGGTGAGCGATCAGGAAGTGTCGGTCACCACGGAGTTACCGCGATGATGTTTTTTAAGATTACTGAGAGTAAGAAATTAGGATCAGTAAAATTACTAAGATTTATACATTACTAAATTACTAAGATTAATAAAATTATTAAGCTAATATATTATCGAATTACTAAGATTGATAAGATTATGAAGGTCACTAAGATTAGTACATACTATGTGATGATGATCTTTGTTCTAACGGCACCTTACGATATGCAGTGCACTGCGTCTTGCGAAGAAGACGGCATCAAATACAGGATTCTACAGTGCGTCTGGTTTGGCACGAAGAAGCCGGCGGGTAACGCCTGCAGAGACATACCACGACCGCCTGTGATGAAAACCTGCAGGGGTTCGCCTTGTCCTCAATCGCCGGGTAGGTCTTTTCAGAGAATATTTGTATCACACCAATTTCTCTGACAATACAGTACTCACGAATTTTCAATTTACCGTAGGAACATAGTTTCTACAGCTAATTAGACACACACACACGCATGCACGCACACACGCACGTACGCACACGCACAGTCGTAATTGATATTTGTCTCATCACGTCACGTCGTTACACATTAATTTCGCGTTAATATACACATAATGCAAAGTGGAACACTGCGATTAACAAATGTTGTTCCGTTCGTACATTTGTAGAGGACTGCAAGGATCACTCGCAACTGTGCAGCAGAGTGAAAATAATGAACATGTGCAAGGTGCCGCTGTACAAGAAACAGTGCTGCGCATCGTGTCGCTAGGTCCGGGAGAATTGATTGCGGACTGATGTATGAGGATTAGACAAACGATGAACAATGACATTGACGATAATGATGATGACAATGATGGCGATAACGATGGCGACGACGATAATGATGACCATGAGGAGTGCGCGCAAGACACAAGAAGTGTAAATTACGATTAGTCGGGGAATTACTTAGTGACATGTAAAACGCACTCGGGACGCCCGTTGTTAGTTAAATTGTAACACGCGAAGGAAGCGTATCACTATCGAATCATGTTGCACGATATCCGGTTTATAAAGGATATTCTTTGAGAGAGAAAAAGGAAGAGAGAGAGAAAGAAAATCAGAGAGAAAGCGAGAGAGAGAGAGAGAGAGAGAGAGAGAGAGAGAGAGAGAGAGAGAGAGAGAGAGAGAGAAAGAGAGAGAGAGAGAGGAGTTGACCAAAACTACTTCGCCGTAATAGTTTTCTTGTCGTATCGTTGCAAGAATTCGTCTTCTTCTTCGCTGTGGATGATCTTCTTGCAACAGAACGAATAAAAAAGAGAGAGAAAGAAAACGAACCCATCAATCTCGACAGTTTCCTAATTAAACCATAATTTTCTAACGTATATCTCACACGTAGTTTGACGCGATTCCTAATCGCGCGCGCTCATTGCTCCTAGTTAAAAGAAAAATAAAAAAAAATAATGATAAAGAAAAAAATGGAAATTTGGCATTCGTCCAAGAAAGTTAAAAAGAGCGTTATATTGTTATAGTCTGATAAGAAAAGGCGAGAGAGAGAGAGAGAGAGAGAGAGAGGGAGAGAGAGAGAGAGAGAGAGAGAGAGAGAGAGAAAAAGAGAGAGAGAGAGAGAGAGGGAAAGGGCGGGGTACAAAACGTACTACGTTTTGGGAGGAAGAAAGCCGTTATCGCGACGTACCGTTGAAAACGACACACATTATTACATGTTGTCGGTGTTGGTGCTTTGGATTGCACGGGAAATGGCTTTAAGCGGAATGATATTCAAATTTTAATAAACAAAAAAACAAGAAAAGAGAAAAAAAGACAGGCTGAGTACGGAAAGTTGCGAGGCATAGTTGAATTGTGCTGTGCGTCGCAAGTATGTTAGAGAATCGATTCCTCGTCGGGATTTATTTTTTTACGCTTCCTTCCCGCGATAAGAAAGAGAGAGAGAGAGAGAGAGAGAGAGAGAGAGAGAGAGAGAGAGAGACAGAGAGAGAGAGAGAGAGAGAGAGAGAGCGCACGATCGATCGATTATGATTATTGATTTCTCAAGCGCGGGGAGATTCATTCCCCTCGAGGCGCTGCTTTGTCTTCTCGTACACCAGATTCTTCTTGGGCATTAACATAAAACAGAATTTCGTCACATTCCAAAGAATCATCTCTCTTTACATTCCGCTGTAAACCAGTAAAGATGTACTTTCCGCGAACGTGTTCTTTTTTTCCGTATTTATATATATATATATATATATATATATATATATTAACGTGTTATCCGTTCCTTAATTGTATCTTCTTTTCGATATAAATTATTATGCAAATGGAAGATTATATACATATACATATATATATATATATATATATATATATATATATATATATAAAACGTTACTTGTAAGAATATAAGTTACGATTGAATCATGATGCGTCTATAAGCGTCCCGTCGGGCAAAAACTTACGCCAATAGATCCTAAGCAATAAAAATACATAAGTATTGTAATATAATATTTTGTTAATAATCTCTCTGGCGAAAATTCGTGAACATGATTGTTTCGTTGTTGGTTGAAGGGTCCGATATTACTTACGTGCCTCTATATATATATATATAATCACTTCATCCCTCTACCTATTTACTAAGCACTCCTTCTCAACAGTTATGAATACTTATTTATTGTACATTCGTGTGAAACTTATCGGTAGAACTTGTAACTCAATGTTTTCAAATAGGAACGATCCCTCGTGCAAAAGACGACATCTGTGTTGTAAAATTTTATACAAATTCGATCCTCTTGACATATTATTCACGTATTATTTTCGAAGATTTGGTCAATTATACGCATCATAGGCGCTACCGAAATTTCTTTTCGTAGAAATATCGTGCACATCAGCGAAACTAGTTTTAAAAAAAGGTGATATCCGTCGTCAAGTATGTTCACAAATTATCACGGAATTGTTCTCTGAAATCTGCGATTACTGTATTAATCAGTTTGTGTACTCGATATTCACAGTTTGTGTAATCTCGATATTCGTTATTAACCGCGGCTCCATTTCACATGGAATATTCAATTAACGAGACGATGCGTTTTTCTCAACAGAACTTTTCTTGTTGTTTCACAATTGTTAAAAATACGAAAACTTACGAGTGCATTTTTGCTCTTCCCTATCCCTCCTCCCTTTCCTCTCCCCACTTCACGGCATCTGTAAGTTACATATTTGAACAGTAATATGATTTGACGAGATTGTAAACAGATTTTCGCTATCAACGAATTTGCCTCGACACAGTTAAGCAGTTTGCCAAAAAAAAAAGAATAAAGACGAGCTGACGTATAAATGAAATAAAAGAGATATATAATTTAGGATATTATTAAAGTCGAAGAAAAAAAGAGAGAAGAAATGAAGAGAATGAAAGGTATATTACGCTACGTAAACAAATTATCGAGATGCACGCGTATAAGTATGACTTTATATGTTGATATGAATGACGTAAAGAAAATGTACGGTGAGTCGTTACTTTTCGATTACGTATCGCGGTACGCGTATCGGAAGCCAGGAAGTATTTCTTCCGGCCAGACGCACACTCTCTCAATCGGGAGAAAATACAAGCGATTTCTGATATATGCCCGCGTATGATCACGCGGCGGCCAGCAGACTGCGAAGGAAAGTATGCTTGCCGCGTCATATACCACATTCTATTGTCATCTTTTTTTTTTTCTTTTTCGGTAGATACTTGAATTATTGATACTTATCTTATGATCACGCTACTGCGGCGTATTATCAGGTCGACTTACAGTATCGATTCGAGGGATAAGTTGTTTTCCAAGTTAATCGACATAACGACACGACAGTTCTGTAAAGGGAAAATGAATTTCAAAAACACACACGTACACATTTTTGTATATATCACGATGTAGGTATGTAAAATGGCTACACAAACATACACACAAACACACACACAAACACACATTTAGTACTGTATGTAAGCATTACTCTGTTCATTATATCTATGTAAATATGTAACTGCCTAAATGCGAATAAAACAAGAGGATATATCACTGCACAATACTGCAGTTATTCTCGTTAAAGTTTATTTGAGTGGATTAGAATTATGAAACTGCTTCTTAAATACGTATCACATGCCATAATCCTCCCTTATGATCCCACTTTATGCCCTTCGTTAAGTTCACGATCCTCGATTGTATGAAACGCATTAAAAATAACGGTCGTAAAAATATGTCTTTCTTTGAAATTTATATTTTATATTTTCAAATATCTTACAAACCGTCGTACATATAATCGACTGTATATATCGTAGAATTATTGCTTCCGTAATTGACCATTGTTACGCCTTAATGTACTGATGGTAGGTGAGCCAGCGCGCGTCCTTAGACGCAAATTCACTGACGTAAAATTACTGTTACAAAGAAGTAAATGCTATCTATCGACAATTACGATTGTGTCAAATGTGATATTGCGTTGTGAACTACTCTGCGTTTGATTCGTGTTGATTTGATTCGATCATTCAATCTGCTGGCGACCAGGGTCACCTCTCTCAATCTGTTGTCCAGATAATTCGTGACAAGAAGCGGCGGCCCGAAATAAACGGAATCCAATTAATTAGTTTGACATTTTCAGAAAAATGTGCGTCAGGCTGTTCCCAAGAATAACTCGTTACCATCGTCTGCCGTATCGCGTAACTCGACAAATTAATCGGCTGATCGCTCATGAGTGTCCGTTTAGGAATTGCTCAAGCCCCAGGCCTGCATCACATCGTTTTGATGCATGGGCCAGAGTCTCTTCAGCAACGTCCAGCCGGTTTTCTGCGTGGACAACAGATACTGATTCTGCGGGTCGTGCAGATGCGCGTAAGCGCCCATCACCAGGCTCTGGCACATTCTGGCGCACACGCTGACCTTGAGAATCCTCTTCTCCACGTCGCTCAGCTTCTTTATTCGCTCATAGCCCTCCACGACGTACTTGCCCATCCCCACGTCGACCGCTTGCAGGATCATGTAGCAGAGAACGATAGCGAGCTCAAAGACGCGGCAAGTCCTCTGCGAGTCGTTGAAGTCAATCACGGCGACTATGTCTTCGCCGTCAGGGCTCACGATGATGTTGTGTTCATTCAGGTCGCCGTGTATGACTCCCTGTTCGAGCTGGTCCGTGACCGGCAGCACCTTCTTCTCGAAGCTGACGATCACATCGTGCACCAGCTGCTTGTCCAGTGAGCTCTTGAGCGCGTGCGTGAATTGCCGCAGTTTTGGTATCGAGGTGAGCATCCACAGCGTTCTGTGGTCATAGTAAGCCGGATGGTCGAAGCCTACGAGGATTTCGTCGATCTTGGCGGCGTAGCCGCCGACTTTGCGCAGCAGTTCGCCGGTCATTTTCACGCGATGAAGAAGCTCGCCGGGCCGGTAAACCAACAGCCGCACGGCGTACCTCTCCGTACTGTCGCTTCTCAGCTTCTCTAAGGAAAAATAGGCGCCGTTTAGATTTTTCACTGGCAACGAGCAGCATATGTCCCGCTGATTGAGGAAGATCATCAGCTCGTTCTGCGCCTCGATCACGCCGGTCTTGCGGGAGTCCAGCGAGTTGATCACCTTGAGGACGTAGCCGGCTTTCTCCGGGCTGGCCACGTGCGGGTTCGCGTGCGTCTCCTCGCACAGCACGTGATAATTGCGGTCGTCGTAAGCATCGAGCTCGCGCACGCTCGTCGCCCTCATGCCGTACAGACGCTCTAGCAGGCCCGCCGCGATCTCCTCCGTCACGGGCGGACGTATGCGTTGGCCTGGTATCAGCAACGTGTCGTTGTACTCCATGCTGGCTGCCTCTGGCCGACACGACGCCACGCGCTGCACAGAAATAGCCGCGGCTTATTAAAGGGAGAGTGAGGGGGCATAGCGCCGAGTCGATGAAAAAGAGAAATATATCTGTTCCGCAGTGAAGAGGGCGTTTGGACGAGCGGATAAAACCCTCGCCGCGCCACGATAGCTTCTTTGTTCAACGTGGACGATTAATCGTTAAATTGCACTGTGGATGGACGGTCCGTGGCGTACGGATTAGCGCGTCGACGTGGGCATAAGAATAATTTATCGGTCGGCGAATCGAGCGAAATAATGCCGGACTCGGGATGATAAGAGAAAGAGAAAAAGAGAGAAACTTGAAAAATATCGAAGGTAAATTGAAGTGAATTAATAAAAATTGCGCGGGCGCGCGCGAAGTTGATATCGTTGCGATCGCTAAATAACGATGCGTCTGTTCGAGCGATTTCGGCTTGATATTTGTTCGCTATTAATTGTCCGTTATATTAATTTATTTATACTCTTTATGTATGTATAATGAATTTTTAAGTACAACGAATGTAATCTACATGACGGTGAGGAGCGATTAGTAAGACGTGTGAAGCAATTGGTGGATGAATTTGAAATGAAGAAAATACTTTACCCTGTCGTGATCCTTTCAGGTGAAAACCGATAAGAGAATCTGGAGCGTCTTGACGTGATAAATCGCGCGAGAGCAAGCGAGAATTCGCATTCACGGGTGTGTAAACGTATCACTTACCCGACGGACGTGTTTATTCAGCCAAAGGAAGCGACACACTAAAGTTCTCAGACGGAGGGAGCAGTTTACTAAGTTAGGCGGACGGTCGTGTGCGCAGCGAGTAGCGTAGTCGACGCTCAATCATCGTTGACGTATGGCACAATGGTAGGGTGCAAACGCACAATCATATTTACATTGACGGTAATTGTACGTAGAGGACGGTGACACAGCGCAATACGAAGCAGAGCGTATCGCAATGCCTAGAGTCGCTCTTATCGGAATTGATAAAACCGCGGGAGATACGCGTAACGCAACGTGTGTAATTTAGGTGTGTGAATTTCCAAGAATTCATTCGAATGAGCAGGTCGGCTGGTTTGAGAAACACTGACACACGAGGCTGCCCGTTAACCCGTTACCGCCATTTCATGAATGAATTCTTCACAGACAGTGAGTTAGCGGTAAATCGATTGGAAAAGGGCACACATACACAATCGGATTTCCTTGTTTTATATAATTATATTTATATTTACAAATAATTCTCCTATCCCCCTCCCCTTTGCATATATATATATATATATATATATATAATGCGCTTTTCTTATATATACAAAAGAAATATAAACGTTTTAATATACGCAGTCGATAAAAAAACTGTGTAAACATGAGGAAATGGGTGATGTTTCGAGAGCAAATTTAAAGTTGTTTCGTCTTTTAACAATTTCTATATGCGTAACAAACAAATAAAATGCTTAGAATAAATAAGTAAGAAGTATTTGTGTGACAAATACTTCATATTTTCGTGAAATCTGCAAATATCGAACTTTAAATTCAATGTAACATGCGTAAGTTTGAAATACAAAAGCAAGATATAAAGCATAAAATATATAATATATATATAAATATTTTTTTCGAAATAACTTATATATAAAATTCAATCTTTTATATAAAGTTATTTATAAATTTCATTTTAAATTTAAACCTATAATCCGCAATAGAATATCATTTGAATACAAATTTTATATACAATATACACATAAGCATTTGAGACATACATATATGTATGTCTTTCGTAAATAGAATCCATCCAATACTAATTCATCTCATAAATAAACCGTTTAAAATGAGCTTGATAATAACATAAATCACAGTTCTTTTATAGCTGGAATACATACTTAATCTTCCATTAGCAGCTGGAAACAAACATCGAATGTACATAAGGCCGTCGGAATTTTCTCCATCAATCTTATAATATTCAAAGCCTCCAGTATATATTTCCGTTTCTTCAATTCCTGTATAAGTGATCTTGCATTTTTCTCGATATCGACTAAAGATTCATTCATAAAAACATGTTCGATTATCTGATTGTATATAGCGTGATTTGGTGGAAATAATGCTGTTAGGTCGTTTAGGAAAAGTTTCTCTAGCACCAATGGTAGCAACGTAATGGCCTGTACGAAAAGAATTAAATAACATTGGAAAATTAAGCAAAATTAAAATTCTTATTTACATAAAATTATTAACTTCGTTCAATTTCGAAGTCTAATACACAGGGTGAAGAAAAAACCCCGGGACCCCTGACAATTTCGAAAAATATACACTTTATAAAAAAATGTTTCAGACAAAAGTTGTAGCGTTGAAAAAGATCTATTTACCGATCTTAACAATTTGACCTTGGGTGGCGTCAACAAGGTCAGGACAAAGTCACCTCGGATTTTTTAAATGGAACCCCCAATTTTTTATTGCATATTCTTATAGCCCTTCTTCAGACCTTTTCAAAGCACTATGGTTTTATCCAATTTGAATAAGCTGTTTCGAAGTTATCGAGTTTTTTAAAGTAAGATATCTAGCCAACTAAGGCAAGATCGGAGGATGATCCGGACAACTAAGGCAAGGTCGGAGTGATCGAGCCAACTAAGACAAGATCGGAGGATGATCCAGCCAACTCGTAAAAATAATTGCGCGACTAACTTCCAGGCGTTGGCTCCTATTGGCTTGTCTTAATTTCGTTGATTGATTTATTTCAATTATTTATTTATTTGAATATTCTGCTGTTCGATGTTTATTTCTTCCATTTACTCATTTAATACTCATTACAATTTAGTGAATCGCAAACTCGACTGAAATTCCTCTATTTTTTTGAAAATTATTAAGAAACAGTTTGAAGCTAGTTGTAAGCTGACTTAAGTGCACTTCATTCCGTGCTCATTATTATTCTTTAGCACTGTCTTTAGAATAACTTTGAATTGATCCAAATATTAATTTAGTCGATTAGACTTACCACTTCTGCTTGTCAATATGGCAAGTCTTTCAGAACGAGAACGCATTGGCTAGATCAGAGCTGGCCACAATCTGCACATTTCAGGCGAAATTCAGTAGGTGACGCCTACCGTCCCCCTCGCACCGCTCCGCGCTCAGCGGCCGAGGCGACGATCACGGTGCACTCAGGCCCGTCGCAGTATAAGAAATCAGCTGGGGCGTCACATTATCATTAAAATTGTTTCCTCGTTTAATAGTCACTTTAAAATATATATTTTTATGCGTTATATATATATATATATATGCGTTTGTGTGTATGCGTTTATATATATAAAAAAAATATATATATGTATTAAACACGTAAACATATATATTTGTAAGTGATTTGTAAGTGATTATTAAACGAGGAAACAATTTTAATGATAATGTGACGCCGCAGTTGATTTTTTATATAGCGACGGGCCTGAGTGCAGCGCGATCGTCGCCCCGGCCGTTGAGCGCGGAGCGGTGCGAGGGGGACGGTAGGCGTCACCTACTGAATTTCGACCGAAATGTGCAGATCGTGTCCAGCTCTGGGCTAGATCATCCTCCGATCTTGCCTTAGTTGGCCGGATCATCCTCCGATCTTGCCCTAGTTGGCTGGATCATCCTCCGATCTTGCCTTAGTTGGCCGGATCATCCTACGATCTTGCCTTAGTTGGCTGGATCATCCTCCGATCTTGCCTTAGTTGGCTGGATCATCCTTCGATCTTGCCTTAGTTGGCTAGATATCTTACTTTAAAAAACTCGATAACTTCGGAACAGCTTATTCAAATTGGATAAAACCATAATGCTTTGAAAAGGTCTGAAGAAGGGCTATAAGAATATGCAATAAAAAATTGGGGGTTCCATTTAAAAAATCCGAGGTGACTTTGTCCTGATCTTGATGACACCACCCAAGGTCAAATTGTTAAGATCGGTAAATAGATCTTTTTCAACGCTACAACTTTTGTCTGAAACATTTTTTTATAAAGTGTATAGTTTTCGAAATTGTCAGGGGTCCCCGGGTTTTTTCTTCACCCTGTATAAGACAAGCTAACCTGTTGTCGTTGTTTGATAAGATTTACTGCCTCTTTCTGCATAGACACATCGTCAGAACATAATCTTATATAAAGGCTTTCTTCGAAACTAATGTGATCCTGCTCGGCTTCTACAAATTGCCTAAGTATCTGTTATAAAACATTCAGGTAAATAATAATTAATTAACCATAACTACAGAAAAGATGCGACAGACGCGACTCGTTAAATTACCTCTTTGGACGCCAATAAACCGATAAGCTCTTCGTGTTCTTGCAATATTCTCTTCTCGAAATCCGTCTCATTCGCATTCGTGATTAACGGAATTATTGCTTTCATCATTTTTAGAATCGGATGATTATCTAATCTGATATGATCTGGCATGTTGAATTTCGGCCATTCTGTAATGATTTTCTTCAGTTTTCGATATCGTTCTAAGTGATCGATTTGATTGAATAGTCTGTGGAATAATTTAAATCGATCTTCCTCTGTGACACATTGATCAACACCATGAATGGGAGAGAGAAAGGACACAGTTTCTTCACGCATTGTTTCTTCAGAATTAATTTTATGCTCCTTATCACTAGTTGCTTCCATGTTATCATCGGAGAAATCACCCCAATCATCTGTCCATCCTATAGTGTCAATTTCATCTGGAGCAGTGATTTTATTTAAATTCCCATTTTCACTGAAGTTTGCGATCGGGGTGTTATTGACGTCTACGATATCGATTTCATTCGAGACAATAACACCGGTCGATTCTTCATCTTCGTCAGAGTTTGCGATCAGAGTATCATTAATATCGACGTGCTCCACGGATTCTTGTTCCTCAATAATAAACTTCTTCGCAGTTTCCTCATGACGTATACAGGTACTACTTTGTTCTACTTGCAGCATACTCCTGTATCTCTTCTCCATCTCCTCCGTTTTAGCAACCTGCGCGCCACCGAGCAAATAACTCTGCCAATATTGTAGTGCTTCAACGATATCGCATTCTTCGGTCGTTCGTGCCACGACCGTCATCTTCGTTATTAAATTCAACGGACTATATAAATACAGCTTCTCACAATCGGTATACAGTTTTTTATACAACTTCAACAAGTAGTAATAGAGAGCGGTTTGTATATACAATTCGTTTCGTGGTAGATTCGTGAAGATCTTCTGAACATCCATGATGTGATCCTTGTTTAAACTTAATAAATACGACATGCCTAATAGCCAATCATCTTGTATAGTATGCTTCGCACATTCCAAGAGTACTGAAATCAATGAAACAATCCCGCGATTCTTATCACATAAATGTAACTTGTTTGTTTAAATTTAATTTAAACGTAGTTAAATAATCCAAATTAAACTTAATGTAAACAATTATAACATATGTGCGATACATACAATGATCGATGTCGCTTATTTCCAATCCGTAGCAGGAAGATTCGCTTAGCATGGTTATTCTCAAAAGCGCACGGCAACATTTGAGTTTTGTATTTTCTATGTCCGGCATAGAATACTTATTATATCTCGGTTCATTAGCACTTTTCTTACATACTCCATGCAAAGATTCGTAATAACATGGGAAACTCTGGCGGTTGGCGTCTTCGCTGGTCTCATTTTGCTCTTCCGCGTCTTCGTAGTGGTCATCAGTTTCCAAATCGTTCGCAAAATTAAATTTCAGTCTAGACTTCCAAAAGCTAGTGTCGCTAATATTCTTGATTAAATGAAATGTTGATTTCCTCATGATGCTAGCTGAGCTCTTAACAATCTCCGTGGAAGTTTCCAACATTTTCGGTACGAATTCCTTCACTTCTACTTGCGGCTGTAAAGCGCAATATAGTTACTTCATAAGAGAAGATATTGACGTTTTAACATCGCTTTCATTGTGAAATAATTCTTACCGTTGTCATAGCGTCTGTAAAATGATCTTCGCTCTCGTCACTTTCTTCATCTCGGGAGCCTTCCAATTCGACAGAAGGCATCCACAATTCCAAATGTTTATGTAGCATCTGTATCTCTATCAAATACATATGTTCTAAGGCATTACCCAATATATCGCTTGGACCATTGTTTATCGCAAACCACAGACATTTTTGCCTGACTTTTAAATCTTGATAATTATCACAACGCCCCAGATTCAGGCAAATTTCCCAGGCAGGAAGATAATTACTTTGTGTTAATTGAGTACATATTGTAGCACATGTGCTATAATTTTCAGTCTGTACAAAATAAGAAATATAATAATATATTATCAATTCTTGCAGTTGCTTCATAATTTTCAAAACTACATCAAAACGAAATCGTAAACATATGTGTATGTGTGTGCGCGCGCGCGCGTGTGTGTGTGTGTGTGTGTGTGTGCATGTATGGAAAAAAAGCATGTCTAACCTCAACTGCCTTCTTGGCTATTAGTTCTAAAACTTTTCCTTCGCGAAGTTTATTTTTATTGCCTTCGATTCGTAAATAAGCCGCCAACATTAACAATCTCTGCCGACTTTTATAAGCATCCCTCTGATTATTTAAACAACGTTCGATAAGACTTAGTCTATCTACCGTTAATCTAACTTGCAGAGGCAATATATCAACGTTGAATTCGTTCAGAATTTGGAGCGATTTAATGAGGTCGTATTCCTCCTTAATTTTCGCGTTATCGTCTTCCATAAGAAGAAGACAAGCTCTAGAACGATTATTATATGTATATTATATATATTATATGTATATTATTATATGTATATTATGTATAATAAATATATATACATTATCGTGTGAATATTAATATATTAGTGAAATTACTTACTTAGCTAATTCCATGTTTGGATCGTTGAGTGTTTTGGAGCTGTTAAAATATTCTTTCGTAGCTTCTAGTATCAGGTCAATTGCTTTCTCATAGGATACATGCATCGGCGATTTTTCATTCCTCTTGGTCTGTATCAAAGTAGAGCAATTCTGAATGATACTTTTAACTCCTGAGACTAAACGAGCGGAAACGTATATCTCAAAACAGGTAACAACTTCGATACAGGGGAGTATACCGCGTAAAACCAACATATCACTTAACAATTGCTGCCATTTGTTCTCATCTGAAGGTATAAATCTGTAAAAAGAAATATGTTCTTGTACTACATTTTTGCAGAAATGTTTTATAAATGATGATGCATTCTATATACTGATTATTTAAGCTTCTCGCCATTTGAATCAATAGCGATTCAGCAACGACGGGATCACTCTTATGTTTCCGTATAAATTTCAACGTTGTTTTCACATCATATTTGCTTAGGACTTTGGTACAATAGAGTTCATTTCCAAGCTTGAAGAGCTCATCTATGACGTCCTTCACTAAGCTGCCCGTTGCATTTGTTCTATGTCCATCATGATTTGGTAACGAATCTAAGATCTCCCTCGCTTTTTCATACATATTAGGGTCGTCACAAGCGCATATACAATCTAACGCTAGGATAGTAACATCGTCTATCATTTGTATTATCTCCGCTTCCTGCGTCAGTTTTAAATATTTGAAAAATTTCACCGGAAGCATCAAGTCATCTTTGCTCAAACAAATCAGATAATCGCTCAGTAGATGCTTCTCAAGATTTCCGCCCTAAAATTTTAGGCAACGTTAAATTATATGAATCCACATACTCGATTTAACTAAAAAATATCTATATGTACCAAATATTGATGTCTTCGTTTGATAAACGGCAGCAAGAGATTCCTTATGTTCTCAACAAAGTTCGATTCGGTCGACGTGCTCATTAAGAGTTTTATCTTCTTCACGTTACTCAACTTTTCTAGTTCATATAACGATATATTTTCTAAGTAGACCTTATACACGAGATCGTCCAACGTTTCCAAATCCAACAATAAATCCTCCATGCCATTAATTTTATGAGCTTTTGCGATCTTAATTAGTTGCAAAGCATTATCTACCATCGAGCTGTTTTTTTCTATTTCGTAAGCACGCATCTTGTACCACTTCTGTAACAGCTCCGGAGTTAGCTGCGTGTTTCTAGAAGTAAAAAGAAATGAAAATTAGTGAAATTAATATGCTTAATTGACTTTTAGGTTATTCAATCAGTATAGAATAAATATATAAAAATTGCATTAAATCGTTGTAGAGAATGCAGCTAATAATGTAACAATGCTTCTCACTTATATATTGATAACGAAGGATCTAATTCATACAATATTTCAGATCGATCGTCAGCATCCAAGTTTATCACTTCGTTGAACTCAAGTTTTTCCGACCAATCTTTTTGTCGTAATTCACATTGATTCAATAAAAACAATTGACCTTCAGAATCGCATTCTGGTAAAAGCTTCTGGTAATCCGACGGATTTAAAGTTTCCGGGAAAAAACTGATGATTGCTAGCCAATGAGGTATCAGACTTTCTCCATAGTAAGTAAACATAATTTCAACTCCACGGTAATCTCCGTCTTTAGCAAATCTTGAAACAATATTCAGGATAAAACAACAATGTATAACATTTTAGCAATCGCTATTTAAATATATATATATAAACACGTTAATACATAATTGCATTTTCAATAGCCGATAACCTTCGAAACTTCTCATAAAATTCCTTTTCATACTGAAGAGGTGGTTGCAGTATAATCTCATATGTAAGTAATTTATCCAAGTGACTCAAAAGCTTTCTTCGATATTTGATCAAATTTTTCTGAGCCTCTGACAAGTTATTTATGTCTACCTGCTCGAGCATTTCGTTTATTTTCTGCATCTGCATTTTTTATAAATCAGATCGTATTAATTTACATGATGATGATGCTATTACATGTTAATGATGCTATTTATTGCAGATAGTCTTACTCACCTGCCGCAAAGTCGCAGAATCTTCATCCAACGATTGCCAATCGTCCTCTGCATCGGGAATCACAAATTTATCGTTGTCGCAAATATCAATCGCTATTAGAGTTTCCAAATTAGCACCTCGCAGTCCAAAATTCAACAGTTCTCTCGCAGCTTCTATAGTATCGGGAACGCGCATAATACATTCATTCAAGACCCAAGATCTTTTGCTTACTTTACTCAAATGTTCTGCGATAGCATTCAAAGATAACTTTGATTTTCTCCACTGTGTTTGATATACGAGATCCGTATCCAGATTATATGTGTTTGCTAAAGCCAAGGCTTCCTCATATTCCTAAATATATATTAAATTTCTTATCTGATAAGATATATTCTTGTTATATGTATAGCCGAATTTGATGAAGGGATAATTTACCTCAATGTCTATTTTCCTAGAATAAAGTTCTTCTGGTGTCGTACTTTTTAAGCCCAAAATTCTATAAGTACGACGTAATACTTTCAATTTTTTCCTCTTCGGTTGAAACCTCTCGATGTCAGTTATTGAATACAGTGTACTTTGAACTAGATTCGTGGTGTAATTTAATATTGTCATAGGTTCTAATTCATCGTCATCTTTTTCGCTTTCTGAAGATGCTTCTTTCATGCAAAATTAAAATTATTTGAAGCTTAATGTTTTCATTAATATTTCAGGTTTTCAAAAATTATATTATAAATGGGAAAGATTATAACTATTATAATTTTTCCCATTTATGATAATAAGATTATAACTATTATAAGCAAAACAAAAAAGGAATATATGTGTAAGAACAAACCTGGTAAATGACTGTCACTAGATTCCCTGCTTCGTTTCTTACTTGTAATGAAGGTTTCACAATCTAAACATAAGAATCCTTTCTCAGATCCCAGTTCACAAACTTGTGGTTGTCCCATTAAGAATTCTGGACTAATACCCAATAAATTCTTCAAATACCATGCAGAGCAAACTGATGTAGATCCTGAATATCGAGCTATTATGATGGCCTTAAAAAATATATATTTTATAAAAGCAGTCTTATAATAAATATGAAATATTCAAGTTGTTCAATTTATAATACAACATGCATGAATGATGATGAGACTTTACCTGATCAGACCACCAACCAATATCTACTGGATGAAATTCTGTAAAACCTGGTGGAAACTTTTTACATTTTGTAAGACCTAAAGGATTAGGTATATTGTGTTCCGGTTGCTCTGACAATTTCCACTTTCTTTGTAATATCAAATTCGGTAGTCCCCATAATGAAACTGAACCATCTGTATGCAAGCATACCAGACATTCGCCATTAGGTGAGATTTTTATCGTGAATATAACTGACTCTAATTGAAAGCTGAAACTAGGAATTAAATTCCAAATAGAAAACCGTGATTTGCTGCTGACTGAATCTTCAAATGCAAATGATAATTTGCAGTATGGATAGTCATTTAAAGGTCGCCATGAAGTTAACCCAGATTCTGATGCAGTAGACTGAAAAAATTTGAAAATGTGGAATTATATACATTTACATTTACATAAATATTTATAAATCAGAATATTTACAGTCAATTTTTGCGTGATCATGTTTCCAGCAACATAAAACAAATGACGCTTCTCATCATAAACAACAGCATTAATGCCATTCTTGTAAAAATTGCTAAAAGAAAAGTCATAATTTGCACTAAAGCCTGTTGTAGAAATATAATAGGATCTAAGAAGTCCACTGTATGTAATCAAAATAAATTCATAAGTCCATTTTTCATTTTTTGCATTTGTTTTAAGAAATAGCATAGATGCTATTGCATCACCAGCTTCCAAAATGTAAGGATTCTGTGAAATTGTCTTTGGGCTTATATTAAAAATATTATTCCCCAGTATATTATAGAAAGATGTATAACCAGTACTAGATGCTAGCACTAAAATCATTCCATCAGGACTCCATGCAAGTTTACGCCATTGTGGAAAGGCATCTTTAGGGGCTAAGAAAAGAAATATCAAATAATTTTCATCATACATGATGTGCAGTTAACAAAGGTGAATGATATATTCAAAAATAGTCAGTGCATTGATATTGTCACATCTCTCACCTGATGTCTTGCCTATTATGGAAGAATATTCATCTTTGGCTTTTCTTATTTCAATAATATTTTCTTGTAAGATAGCAAGTACACGACCATGATCCCCAACAGCAAATTTCCAGGATAGCGTTAGACTAACTTGATGGGAAATGCTTTCAGGTAAGGAATATCTATTGTTTAAATATCTTAGAGCATTTTTTATTGTGCCAGTAGCTGGGAGAACAACTGTGTCATTTTTACATTTCTAAAACATAAAATATAGTTTAACTTATAATTTTCTAAAAATGTGAGTTTTTGTTAAAAAATATTTTTTTACTTACTATTAATTCTGGCTCTTGCTCTCGTACAAAATATTCCAATAATTCATATAGTATCGGCTCATTTGACGTTTCATTTTGTGTACTCATCTTGTCACTAAAAATATAATCATAAGAAATAAATAAACAATATGTCACTAATGAATCAATACTTGATTCTTGAATTGCTAAAAGAATATCTGTTAGGTGTTCTTAACTTTAAATTAATCTTTATATTGATTTCAGAATTCATTTCAATTTCAGAATCAGATTTTATTACAAAACTTTATGGAACATGTCTTCTGTGTACACACACTTTATTTGAATTTTCTCGGTGTATTTTGCTCAAATTTTCATTTTCCAACAATATAATTCAATGTTAGATCAAAAGAACTCCTATTACATATTAATATATAGAAATAAAATAATTCGACTAGCTATTCAGTCATTCATTCATTCATTCAATATATGGCTCTGAGCAGAGTTATTACACTCCTCCTACGCCAATCATAACGATTTTGAAAATAAAAGAGAAACAGGGACTACGCGTACGCAGTATCCAAGATAAAAAATATGTGTAATTACAGGAACCACATTTAATCGCCACGGAGGCGAACAAAAGACTCAGCCAGGGGCAGGGAGGACAAACTCCCTTCTTAGAAACCGAGCGACGGTAAAGTCACTAGATATATAAAGTACTGCAATCGTCCGCCATGTTTAGCCCAACACGCGGGAATTTGAAGTTAATATTGTGAAAAACAATATAAATGACAAACACGAATACACTTTGTTCATTTGTTGTATTTATTTATAACACTTACTATGAGCTATAGCCATTCTCATCGCGACGCTTCTACTACTATTATTACTACTCGCATCTAACATAGTATTGTCTGTTTTCAGTTCAAAATGAATATGTGTTGTAACGAATAATTTTATTAATTTATATAGTATATTGTGGCATGAATGTATGTTTTCTATAGAATAGGTTTGTAAGCAATTTTGAATAAATTCTGGTACTGGTAATATATTTGATAATAACATCTACTTATTTTTTCTGAATAATATTTCACATTTATATATAACATTAAATATGTCTGCAATTGGAAATAATAAACTATTTTCTTTAAATTGTCTTAATTTCGAAAAATAGTGTAAATTATTATTATCATTATCATCAGTGTTACTAGTTGTTATAAGCGGTGTGAAACATTTCTTACATGTAAAATTTTTTATTTTAAATAATAAGGCACCTGTTAAATGGTATAAAACTGTCTGTACAGTATCGCTGAGATCTGTTTCAGTTCCTACTAATGGGATATAAATTTTTGAATTCAACATGACTTCATTAATATTATCCAGACATTGTACCTCTGCAGTCTTTTTGCATTGAAGTTGTTTTAATGTAGTACAATATTTAATGAGATGTTCAGAATCACTCATCGAGTAATTGCCATGATCAATATTTGCTTGGAACTGGGATAAGGAAATCAATCGTAATGCATGTTTGAAATCACGTGCATTTGGAACAGGTTGTCTCCCTCGGATTAATGAAAATAAATTTTCCAAGGCGTCTTGTGTAAGTCGTCCAAGTAATATATATTTAAACTTATATTTCTTTAAATATTCTACTTGTACATCCAGAGCAGTTTGTGTACACAATAATAAATCACTCTGGAATGGTTGCCATTTACCAGCATCGACTGTTATTGCTCTCACAATATCCATAAACTCTTTTAGAAACGTTATATAATCATTGTACACTGATTCATTAGAATGAGATAATGCAAGTTTTTCATAACGACTTGTCATGAGTTTGAATCACTTGTGTATTATTGTTAAGAACCAAGCAGTAGTCTTTTGTATATCAGCAATGCGGCCGTGATTTATATGATATAATATTGCAGCAGCAACATTATTATTCAATACTGCAACACTTAATGCAGCATTCATTTTTTCAAAATGCGATAGATTTATACAATGTTCTGTGAGACGTGGACACAATTTCAATGTTTCATTTCGGTCTAAATGAAATACTTCACGAATAGGCACAATGGAAATTGCTTTATGTGACAAGTTACATCTTTTCATTATTGTTTCGTCCACATAAAATGTTTTTCCCGATGTTAGTGAGCATGCAACATTCTTATATACGTGAACATTATCTGCCATAACAAACAATCTATCTTGGTCGTTGCATGGATGTTGAATAAAATTATTGATTTTGCTAAATTTGCTAGCCGTAATATTCAATACTTTCCACCAGCTTCTGTTTAGTGCGCCCATGTCGGATATTATTACCTTGATTGTCAGTCCAATATCGTGTGCCTTTTGAATTATTGTTGTGATCTTCTGCACTATTTCATTAGCACAAAATGAATTGGCTGTGAATTCGTAACCAACAGTTTGCTTCCATTTCGTGGAAACACCACATAGCATAAACACGAGGCTATGAGTAGCTTGTTTATTGCTACAATCCAATTCACCTGATAATTTCATTGTTGGTCGTCCAATAACTGAAGCCGTACAACTATCATACTGTAAATCCGGTTTTATAGACATTTCGTCTATTAATAATACTGCGTGTTTTTCTTCTGGTCGAAAAGATTGTATCTATAATTATATATTACTGAGTATTATATTACAAAATCATAAACAAATGTTTATGTTTATGACAGTAATTATTATTCACACTACCTTTATTTTTATAAGGTTCATTATCTCTCCATAAGTACCTGGCTTAAAGGGTAAGCCCTTTAAGCCAGTAAGGATATACGATGCTGTAAAGTGCGGATACTTGGATATGGTAGATTCTGCCTGCGCAATTCTTCATATCCTTTACAACCGCAGGCCACATATAGTCTCAATGCTTTATTTATAGTATTTGCAGACCATATGTGTCCCCTTTGTGTATTATGTGTGAGAAAATCCGTTTGATCTTTGTTAAACAATGTCTGAAAACGTGCATCTCTTTTTTGCAACCGTTTTTTCAACAGACGATTTTTTTGTTGCATCTGTTTTAATGATTGCTTCAATTTTTTAACAGTTGTTTCATCATATATATTACGCTTCACTGCAATGTCTCCAGAATTGGTTGTTTTGGTAGGTTGTACAACTTCTGCTTCAATGAGTGCTCTTGCATCCAGTTCACTGTTCTTATTGTTACACTCGACATCGATATGGAAAGTATTTTTAATTGCATTATGTGTTGTATGTTCATTTGCACTTGTATAAATATGTTTTAATTTAAGTAATGTATATTAAAATAAAGGCCTGAGCACAATAGACAGCATATTAGAAATAGAAATAAATATTAAATATTAGGAAGAAGGCTAAGTTGTATTTGATGCTCGTGATCGTTCAAACTTATTAGATTTTTCAAACCTATTAATATTTAAATATTCAGTGATACAAGCAATATTCAGTGATCCAACAACAAGGATAGAATGATGATGCTAGATTGAAGAAGAACTTAGACTCTTTATTATTAATATTTAATAATTAATTATAACTATTTCAAATGAAGCAGATTTGGATCGTTCTATGAATAATTCTTAAATTCTGTAACCTGTTATTGTAGTTAATGACAGTTTCTGTATTGTTGCGCAACTTTTCCCTACCATAAAAAAGTTGCGCAATAACGAAATTATCGTTAACTGCAATTACGAGATCGATATTTATATAATCGGGTCTTACATATATTTAAGATCGCCTTAAGATTAGTTTTAAAATTCCATTCAACCAATAAAATGACAAGAGAAACATTTTAAGACTGATCTTGAGACGATCTTATTTCAACGCAGCGGATGACGTTTTCCAACAATCCAAAGAGATTAGCTGCACTTACAAATTGAGAGTACGCAATTTTATTCTTCAAAAATTCGTTGAATTCTTCAAATGACTTCTCATCTCGTAATGGAAGAGGAGGACAATTTTCGGGTCTTTCCACAATAGCTTCACCAGGAAATATTTCATTTAAGATGCGACGTTGGTTCATCAGCAATATATTCAGTTTACTTGATATATCTCGAAGCAAATCTCTATCAAGATTAGATACGACCGGTCCTACGGACATATTAATTAATGATTAGAAAGTTAGTATGCGTGAAACATACAAGGATTGTTCAAAAAGTAATGTTCCACATTTTTTTTCTCAGAATGTATTTATTCAAAATGGTTGAAAATATTAATAAATGTTTCTTTCACATACTATTTTTTGACATAGTCTTCATCAAATTGTATAGTCTTACGCCAATGTTACGAAGAAAAACCGGTATCGGAAAGGAATTGAACATTTCTTCAACGCTGGCATAAGGCCATACAAGTTGATGGAGATCATTTCGAAAAATAGTATGTGTAAAAGAAATATTTATTTATATATTTTCATCAAATTTCAATCATTTTGAATAAATATGTTCTGAAAAAAATGTTAGGTATTACTTTTTAAACAACCCTTATATATATTGCAGTTATATAAATTAGAATAAAGGGAATTATTACTATGAAGCTTCTTAAAATGGTTTAATGTTGTTGTCAGTAAATCGCGTTTTGCATTTGATAAACATAATAAACGTATAACATATTAGGAAAAATAATATTTATGAAAACTACTTCTGAAGCGTGAGATTGTTGAGAAAATTAAATTATCTTAGGATAGTGGTGAATTTGGAGATGCTTGATTTTTCTCATTATCTACTGACATTAAAGTCTTTTTTTTTTTTGTAAAACATCATCTTCATTTTCATCTTGTAGAGTTTCGCAGTTCATTGTATTATATAAATTTTTTTATGTTCATTGTTCCTATCATCTGAATTAACATTAGAATTGTTATTTTATTTCCAATATTGATTGCATAAAATATAATAAAAATATGAACATATTCACATTTATATAATCATAATTTTATTTAAAGAGAGGAACTATGCAGCTGAGAAAGAGACAGAGAGAGAGAGAGAGAGAGAGAGAGAGAGAGAGAGAGAGAGAGAGAGAGAGAAAGACAGACAAAGAGAGAGATAGAGAGTGAGTGTCTCTGCCCGCGTACGAGTGTCAAAGAGAGAAACAGCATAACATCTGCCATATATATATTTTTTTTAATGCAAGATAATGTACTGAAGAAAGTATAATAGAAAAAATGTGAAATTATTTACATTCATCAAAGAGAGATGACTTTGCTTTGTTATTTGGGGAAGCATTTAGTTTCCTCCTAAAGAGATTCTACTCCATATGTACAGGCAGTGTGCTCATGGACATTGTAGAACTATTTGATCTTGATGTAGTAGGTTGTTCATCATCATCTGTATTCAATTGAAGAGACAAGTACTTTGGAGAAGCTATAACCGTCCACAAAATAAATTATACAAAAGTTTGCAGGAATAAAATCATCTATAATTAATATAAAAATATCGTTATTACTTGAAAATGACAACTTACTATTAGAAAAATTAAGATAGTTCTCTTTATCTAAATGTTGAGAGATGCTATGCAATTTTCTAAGAGGTTTTGTCTTGTTTGATTGCAGTGGTTCTACGATCACTTTGTCCGATATTTCTGTATTACAATCTGTTACGTCCTGTAGATTTAATTAGTAAAAATTCTTTCCTCTCGCGGATTTATATTCTCCTAATATAACTATAATAGGAATATATACATATATAAATATAAATTAGGAAACAGACCCATCTGGCGAACAGCCGTCGCGCCAAATGAAAGGCGATTCGGGAAAATTCCATAACAGGAAACAGTGCCCTGTTGTAAAAATTTACGTCTTCGTTTAAAGTTTATATCTGGGTAGTGTTCGCCAAGTGTGTCCGTCGTCCTAGCTATAAAAATTTGAAACTCCGCGCTAATAAACCTTCAGTAAAACAAAGCAACTCAGAGCATTCCTGCTCTAAAACTTGAAACTTACATCTTCCCAATCCAAAACCATATGTGTCCTATCAGTTAACCAACAAAGTTTACTTCACTGATAGTCGTAAAATCTGATCGCAGCCTTTGATTTACGGCATTTTGATTTTTCCAGCTGGCCACTTGTATACATTTCTCTATCTCAAGAATCTACCACCTCCACGCTTGTCGCGCCTAATTCATTCAGCCAATCATATCATATCCACCTAAAACTATGAGACACCCACGCTCCACCCTTTAGCCTTTTCATATTCATATTTCCAAAAACTAACTGTCTCTTCCCATGATGTCTTTTAACTTCATCCTTAATTTCTAATGGCTGAGACTTTTTCTCACTAAGACCAATTCACCCCTTCCTCAAAGGCCATCTCTCTACCCACCCTGATAGCTTCTGCCTCCGATTATCAGTATAAAAACCGCGGTAATCCGCTTCCGCGACACCACTACTCTGAGAGACAGAAGAACACGGAAACGAAAAAGCTCAGACTCCCAGATATTCAAAACTCAGATATTCAGAACTCGGATATTCAGATCTTGAGCATTAGGATTCAGATTCAAATCTTCATAATTCCAGTTTATTCAAATATTTAGTATTCAAATATTCAAGCATTCGGATTTTGGAAAAAGTGCGGGCTTCCTCTTTATATAATGCGACGCGATTATCGCTCGCCGTCGGCAAACTGCCGTCGGTCCGCGCGTCTCGGCCAACCTAGCTCTCACAAAATCGGTTGGGCGCCAGGTGCAGCGGGCTGCACCGTTCACCAACGCTACGCGACACCTCACCAAAGGGCCGAGACACGCGAAGTCGACGGGACCGGTAGCCCTTCGATATTTAAGTCGGTGGACGGGAAGGGTTCGTCGGAAGTCGGGAACGACCGGGAAAACACAAAAATAACGAGGCGCGTTTCGACTATCTTTAGCTTTATTATTTCGGGAATCGGAACGGTCCGACCCCCTCGATACGATACACTCCGCTTGGGCTCTCGCGAATTCGAGATTGTTCGCTACGCCGATAACTTTGACGAGACTCTTTTCGCTTACGACACCGAAACAATAATGCAGGTGGAAGGTCTTACACAATCGGGAACCTCCCAGCGACGTGGTCCTCCTCTCTTCTCCCTCTCACGCTCGCTCTGGCACGCGCTGCCACTGACGTCCCCTCCTAGGCGAGCGGTACGTTCGGAGCCCTCCGCTTGCTGACGCCAAAAAACTTCACTAATGCTTTCGCTTTTATTCTCCTTCGCGGTAGTCGATATCTCTCAGCTACTATTCGGAAGCAGGTCGGCGATATTAGAGAGACAATGGGAGTCTCCTCTTTTTATCTCCTTCTCCCCTGACAGACTTTCTTGTCCGTTGGTGTTGTCTCGTGCTACCCGTCTCTCCCCGTTCCTCGGTAAATCTCCCTATACGGGAATCCTTCCGCGGATCTTTGTTTTTCGATCCGCGGGACGGGTGCTCGGTCTCACTCTCTTGCTCACTCTCTCTCTCTCTTGCTCACACTCGCCCGATCTCAGTGTTCAGGCTGGCTTTGTCTAGCCGGCGTTCACGCGCCAAGCACGGGAACGCCGACCGTTCGGCGCGATATCCTTGCAGGCCTGTGGACAACGGAAGCGACAGCGAGAACCTTTCACGACGATACGAAACCGATACTAGTATTATTAAAGGAGTGCATTCACCTGGGGTGGCGGTCTTGCCAAGGGGGTGTCATCCTCTTCCTTCCTCCACCGATTCCTCCGCTCCTGATGGGCGGCGCAGGAGGTCCAGGGGCACAGAGCTCGGGGACGCGGGACCGTTCCACCTGCGCGCTCCGACTACTAACACTAATTATTACGGGGGAGAGCGCAAGGCGACACCCCCTCCCGAGAGTCTCGCCTAAGGGCCGAAAGGTCGGCCTGTGACGGGCGCCTTTCCGGCTGCCACGTCACAATAAGTGAACGACTATTTGGTGCCTCAATCGGAATACGAATATTGGAAACGAGAACACCTACGCAGATCTGCGCCATTCTCACTTCTGCTTGTGTCAACTCATCCTGAATCAGTAGTAAGTTTCATTTTCTTTACTTTATCTTCCTACTTCTATTTTATTTATTCCACCCTTGAACTTCCTATTCATATTCGTTCCCTTTTCCATCCCTTTCTTTTTCCATTTCATACACTCATACACACTCATTCATCTAAGTATAATTGTCATGTTCAAACCATTCAATTACATCATTTTGGGTCGCTATTCATCTTAATAAACCTGTAAAAATTCAATCCGCACCGTTATATCCTATTATTAATAAATTTGTTAATTCAAACCATTACGTTATATAATTTTGTCATCTTTATTTTAATAAATATGTTAATAGTTATTATCACCAATTAATTTCAAAATCACCCCACCTTCGACAGTCAACTCATGGTCCTATCCCCGGTAAAGGGACTCGCGTCCTTGATCGAAAAACGGACCGTTCGTCGTACGTCTGTGTCCGAGTAAAGGGACCCGTCGGGTCCCTAACCCGTTCATTGGTACGCGGTTACGAACGAGGTTCGCCTTACTCGCGAACGGAAAGTTGTGCTCCTCCTCTAGGACGTAACAACAATCTTTAGAACAATAATTTTGTTGTACAGCTAAAATTATAAAAAGACTATAAAACTGTACAATTACTAAAAAGATGAAACAGATTGTTATTAAATTTAATTTTAAAAAGCACATAAATAATTATTTATATAATAATTTATGTGCTTATTTATATAATAATAATATATAATAATAAATATATAATAATAATTTATATAATAATATATAATAATAAATAATTAATTATATAAACATTATTTATGAATATACATGTACATACTCTCATTTAGTAAAGAATGCAGCTTTATCGGATTTTCCTCTAATGTAATGTTATGGTGAGTTAACTTTAAATGGCCTAATGACTTAATACTTGATTCGTTACAAGATAATGATTTTCCTATAGATATGTCTTTTTCTATTAACTGTTTAGTAGATATTTTCACTGATTTATTTTTAATAAGTTTTTTGAATTTATTTGGAAGAAGAGAATTTGGAGCAAGTATTTCACTGCTTGTACCACAAGGGATATGTAATGCAGGATTATCTAATTTTTCATCTTCTAAAGAGGACATATATTTTTTATTCTTTTTTTCTTTCTTGGTTGGTCATAATCTGTTTCCACATCTGACCGAGCAACTTCTCCCTCTAGAACAGTTTTAGCCGCTTTGAGAGCAGCATTGTAAGTATCTACAAGTAAGAAAGTATAAAAATATAACATAGATACACATGATACTGAAACTTATTTGTTAATATAATAAAGTGCAATTATATTTTAGGTATATCGGCATTGAAATAACTCTGTATTTAAAAGTAAAATATATGGTAATATATCTGAAGAAGTTATAAAATTACTATAATAATGATGCAATCGAAGATTATAAATATCCCAATCTTGTCCTGGGTCGATTCTTGACAGAATCAAACGGGTAGTTTTAAGTTTATCTTTTTTAGGTGGATATTTGCACATAGTATTGTTATCAAAGAGCCATTTAGAAGGAATTACTTCTATTAGTGTCTCAGATTCGTCACATGAATCATTAAATTCCACAAGTGCAAACTGAAAAGAAAAATAAAACATTGGCCTACAAGATAATATAATTTGTATAATGAAATAAAAAAAAATATAGAATTTGTTCTTACTAGCATTTTAATGATTATTGCAGTATACAAAAGGAATGCATACAAATGTTTCGTTATTGTCCGGAAAAAGAACGCATTTACAAAAAAAATTTTTAATTTTATAAGCAGTTTTCTCGCTTTCTAGACGAGAAACTTTAACAATTCCAAGTTCTGAAGATGCAATAGGAAAATTATAATAATCTTTTTGTTCTAAACCTATATCCCAGTAGGAAAATATCATTTTGAGGTGTTCGAATGATCATATTCAAGATTAAAATTTTTCCACATTTAGTTTTAAAGCAGTTATTTGTGTTTACATTTCTCTAATATAGAAAATACTATATTTAGTATTGTATTAAATATTGGAGATCAAGTATAACCTAAAATATAACCTAAAAATATGACCAAATATTTTATTAAATAAAATAGATTGTAATGATGAAAAGAGATGTGTCACAAGGAACAAGTACGTAAAGAAAGAGATAATAGTATTAAGTTAAATTTTATTGTGCAACCCAATGATTACCAGAAAAACTAATATAAATGTAAATCGAGATTCACTTACCTCTCTCTTCTTTAACTCTTTCGTCATTTTCATATTTTTTTTATATTATTCTCTTCTCTTATATTTTTCCTAATAGAATCGCATTTTTTTGGCAACACCAGTCATTTTCACATTTTACTGCCTTCAGTGAATGTAAAGCCAACGGCACACGGTGCTTGTTTTCGTGCTAGATTGCTTGCTGGATGAAAATACTGTGTTCTGATTGGTGCATTTCCATCCATCTTCGGAAAAGTACCAATCAGAACGCAGTATTTCCATCCAGCAAGCAATCCAGCACGAAAACAAGCACCGTGTGCCACTGGTTTAAATGTAGTTAGCTTGCGAACAAGGCTCCGAAATTCACTGCCAGTACTGAAAATACAGAGTTTGTGTCATGTATACTATAGAATTTTAGTGCTGGCAGTGAATATCGGAACGCAGCCCAAGTGAAAATAACAGACCATATATACATGTCATATGTATTCGAATACCATTGGACCGTGGCGTACGAACTTAATCAATAAGATGTAAACAATAAGCGAATCAACAAATCATCATCAATTATTCTTATGATCGAAAAATTTGACTCTGATCGACCAATTTTCTTAGTACCCAGCAAGAAATGAATATCGTATCGAAATCCGATTCAACGTTCACTGGAATATTTAGAGCCGATATTCATAGTCTGATGTTATATTTTAGTTTGAATTTCATCTTCCAATTCTGTACGGTTCATTTTATTGATTACACAATAACTGAAGATGAATTTAAGACGATCTTAAATAATATTCAATAAGGAAAATAGTTAAGCCAGCGGCACACGACGCTTATTGTTTTCGTGCTGGATCGCTTGCTGGATGAAAATACTGCGTTCTGATTGGTGCATTTCCATCCATCTTCGAAAATATACCAATCACAACGCAGTATTTTCATTCAGCAAGCAATCCAGCACGAAAACAAGCACCGTGTGCCGTGGCTTAAGAAAAAAGATTCAAAATTTTATATTATTTTAATCAGCAACTCAGAGCAACACTCTTTTGAACACAAATGTTTAAGAATACAATTGTATCTGAATGGTCAAACTTTAACCTTTTTCTGATTATTGTTATATCATACATTTTCATAATAATACGCATATATATATATATAATTAAAAAAATATGCCGCAATATCTGAAACTTAAAAAAACTCAATAAATTGAGAAATCAATATAAAGTCAATTTTAAGTCATATGAGATTGAGATTTTATTCATGACCAAATATTGACGTAAATGTAGTCAAAATGACGTCAAATTGACTTCATTTTGACTTTTCTGTTCTCTTTGGGATATGTCTATTGTGCTCAAGCCCTAACATTTGTGTTTATGTAAAAACACAATTCAGATCATTTACATTCTTATTTCAATGTGTTTTTGTATTCTGTCATACTTACTATATTCTAAATCTTCGACATGACTAAATACTTCATGTTTGGATTTATGTATTGTATTTGTAGCAACTATGCGTTTCAGCAATAGATTCGGTGTAGCAAAAGGACGGAGCAATTTTCTTCCATCTTGTCTATGTTGCTCAAATTGATTTTCATCAAAGTGCACCTGCAAAATACGCACATATATATGATAAATATTACTGTAAAATATACATTACCTTACATGCAATTATACTTCCTTGATTATACCTCACAAACTGCAGCCCATTTCGGTAATGTATTTTTCCCAATCAGTACCACCCATTCGTCTCGCTTTTTCTGTGCTGATGGAATACCGAAAAATCGAAATGAGTTTTCACTACGGTTGTTACAATTATCGATACAACACGCTGGCATTTCATTCGTTGATTATTTACGTTTTACATACGTCTTTTTCCTTTCAGTCGCACACGATAATAGCTGTCACGATACATTACGCGACTTGTACTAAGTGTATATCTATGACATAAAGTGTACACTATATACACTTTTCGACACCATTTTCAGTCCAATCTGCTAAAGCATGAGTTTTATGAATTGCGGTACTTTATATAACTCAGTGTTCTAATAAAGAATGATAAATTTTACTTGTAAAAATTTATGTTATGAACATTTTTTGTAGCTAGGTTTTCTTGAATATTTTGAATAACATTACCTTTAAAAAGATATTTTTTTTTAAATATTGAACACTATTAACAAACGTGTTAAATTTTTATAACACGATATAATTTTTACTTTTAAAAGTTTATGTACATATATATCTTAAAAAAAAAATAATTTGATGTTTTACTTATAAAAATTTATGTTATGTACATAATATTTAAAAAGATATTTTTTTTTAATATTGGACAATATTAACAAACGTGTTAAATTTTTATAACACGATATAATTTTTACTTTTAAAAGTTTATGTCATATATTATAAAAACTTTTGTTATGTACATAATATATATCTTAAAAAAGAAAATAATTTGAATTTGAGATTTCTAAAAATATTAAGTTAAGTATACAATAATTATATATACAGGATTTTTGATAGCTGATCATGCAGACAAAAGTTAGAGATAGATTGGGTGTAGCCGAGAAGAAAAGTCATGTACCATAATGACAAATTGCCAATAGTTATCGAGTTATTAATTAAAACATGTGAGCCAACGAGCGCGTAGAGAGCGGAGGGCGACCGCAATAAGCACGTAGACATTTGACATAGGCGGAGTCAGCGAGTGGCGGTAGGCGAGCATGCGCGGCAAGGGGCAACGTAAATAACAAGAGGCGAACGCGCACGACGAGGAGCGAGCGAGCGCAAGCGATAAGAGGCGAGCGAGCGCGACGAAGAGCGAGCGAGCGCGAACGACGAAAAGTGAGCGAGCTATAAGGAAAAAACTATAAAGAAAAAGCTCGCTCGCTCCTCGTCGCGCGCGATCGCCTCTTGTCGCTTACGTTGCCCCTTGCCACGCGCGCTTGCCTACCGCCGCTCACTGACTTCGCCTGTATCAAATGTCTACGTGCTTACTGCGGCCGCCCTCCGCTCTCTACGCGCTCGTTGGCTCACATGTTTTAATTAATAACTCGATAACTATTGGCAATTTGACATTATGGTACATGACTTTTCTTCTCGGCTACACCCAATCTATCTCCAACTTTCGTCTGCATGATCAGCTATCCAACACCCTGTATATATGTTAGGTTTCTCAGTTGGCGCTACTGTTCTAATATATCATTTCTTTTGTACAGTGGAAAAGTGTTGCAGAGTTTTATTATAATTATAAGTTTTACTTGTAAAAACTTATGTACACATATATACCGTAAAAAAAATAATTTGAGTTTGATACTTCTAAAAATAACACAATACGTGTTGCGCTTGTACTCGGCGCCTTTTTTTACCTTTTTGTTTAAAAAGGTAAGTTTTTATAAGTTTTACTTGTAAAACTTATAAAATCTTATGTATTATCTTTAAGTTTTACTTGTAAAAACTTGTTATGTACATATATATACCTTTAAAAAAAAATTTGAATTTGAAATTTCTTAAAATATTAGGTGCGCAACTAAGTTCCCGCTGTTTTTCAAGAGATGGCTCCAGTAGTAAGTGCTGGTCGATTGTGACATAACCAAAACGTCATGAACCAAGCTTAGACATATGGTAAACAAACCGCTTTGACACATTAGTGATTTTGTTTTTGCGTCATATACTTTTTGTTGTGTGAAAATGTCTGATTTTGTGCCAAATAATCGTCATTTGCGGGAAGTGTTACTTTTCTTCTTTCATTCGAAGAAAAGGCGGCTGAAGCGCATCGAGAACTCCAAAAAGTTTACGGAGGTGCTGCTCTAAGTGAAACAACGTGCCGTGATTGGTTCCGTCGCTTCAAAGACGGTGATTTCGATGTTGACGACCATTCGCGTGAAAGAAGGCCAAAAACCTTCGAAGACGCTGAATTGGAGGCATTGCTCGATGAGGATCCGTGCCAAACGCAAAAGGAGCTTGCTTCAGCATTAGGAGTTACCCGCCAAGCCATTTCCAAGCGATTGCATGCGTTGGGAATGATTAAAAAACAAGGAACTTGGGTTCCTTATGATTTGAAGCCAAGAGACGTTGAGCGTCGTTTTTTCGCTTGTGAACAACTGCTCCAGCGGCAAAAAAGGAAGGGTTTTCTTCATCGCATCGTTACGGGTGATGAAAAATGGATTCATTACAGCAACCCAAAGAGAACAAAATCATGGGGACTGCCCGGTCATGCTTCTACGTCGTCGGCTCGGCCGAATATTCACGCTGCGAAGGTTTTGTTGTGTATTTGGTGGGACCAGGGTGGTGTTATTTATTATGAGCTGTTGAAACCGAACGAAACCATCACTGGGGAACGGTATCGA